AAAGAAACACTGGGAAAGTTCCAGCTTCTCCCGGTTGGTTCTAAAGGCGCTTAGCTGTGGCAGAAACCAGTTAAGGCAGTAACTTCCCGGACTAGTCCTCCCTGATATGGTTGGAAGCAGATTCTCCTGGCGCGCAAGCTTGGGAACCGCCTTAGAGGGCGCGTGAGAGTTTCGTGGCTTGGAAAAGACCCAGGCGAATAGAGCTACAGCCTTAAAACAGTGTTTAAGTTGTTGTCTTTTAGGTATTAAAAAATGTTTCTTTCTTTCGAAACTGCAGGTTTAAAGAGGCAGCATAGCTGTTTATGAAACACATCCTGAAATTGAACAGAGGTGAAGAAGTACTGCTGCCACCTGCCACCCGCTGCCCGTCGGCAGCATTGGTGGTTCAGTGGTAGAATTCTCGCCTGCCACGCGGGAGGCCCGGGTTCGATTCCCGGCCAATGCATAATCGCTTCTTAGTTTTGGTTCGTTCTTTCCCCGCTGTATGACACTTAAGTAGACGAAATCAGGTTATCCGAGATTTTAGTTTCTTTATATTTGGTTCCCGCTCGCTCCTTCTCTGGTGGCTGTGTGCAGTACAAACTTAAACATATCCACTTACATTTAGTAATTTAGTTTGGGTATCTTTTAAGAGACTTCACTCTACTTGGGAGAATGCATCATATAGGGTAGCAGGTGCAAGGTAGCGGGAACATAGCTTCTGTTGAGATCCGTCCTTAAAGTTAGTAATTCTGGGGAGCAACATCCTCAGAGACAAGTTGACAAGGGACACTGTGCGTTTGTCTCTGTGACCTAAGCGGGATCTGAGCCAGAGCCCAGATTGAATTGGACAGTAAATTGATGCAGGTCCCAGTCCATCCTTTGTCCTAAATGACTATACGGGAATTGGGAGTAAATACACACTCATTCCCATTAGGTCTGTGGCTTTATGAATTGAGTCTTATTCTTGTCTCACTTTCTTTAATCCAGAACATTCTATCAAGACTTTCTGGTGTTTGGACTTTTACTGAAAGCCAAAAGAAGATCCATTTCAAACACGTACACTTGGAAATACTCTGAGGAAAGAGAAGATTCAAACTATCCTCAAAAAAAGATAACCTGTGTCTTAATTCCAGGAAGGAGAGAAGCTGTCAGTTTTAAATCCATTCCTTTTCAGAGTCTAGGTCGGTCAGACCTGGAAGCCAGAGTCAAGATATTTTAACAAAGAGAGCCTGAAAGAGAAGGGACCTTACCTCAAAAGAGAAAAGATAGCCTGGGCAGGCTAGGGGGACTGTATCCCAGTCTGTTCAGGTACTGCCTTGTCTGCCCCATTCCTGGACACTGCCCACCCCCAGGCTTAAAATCCTACCTAAGTACTTAAGGTGCTGGGGCTATAACTCAGCAGCAGAGCACTTGCTTAAACATGCCTAAGGCCCTAAGCTTGGTCTCCAGCATTACACACACACACACACACACACACACACAGAGAGAGAGAGAGAGAGAGAGAGGATTCTCTCCACCCACACACAAGAGTTGCAGGTATAGCTTTAAATCACATATACATGCTTCCAGTGTCATTCACTTTTTTGGAATGGTAGTGCTAGGGGTCAAATCCAGGGTCTGGCACTATGCCCCAATCCCCTTCAGATATTTTTAAATTATCTCTTCACTGAGTTTCACTGCATACACATAGAGGAATTTATGTATGCAATACAAACTTAAACATATCCACTTACATTTAGTAATTTAGTTTGGGTATCTTTTAAGTAGAACAGATATTTAAATAGTGACTTAAATGGACACTGTGAAGTGAAGGGATGCTTATGACTCAATGTAGAATACAAAACAAAAGAAACCTGTGGAACAAAATTTATAGCACGATCCAAATCACTTATAAAGTTCTGGCACACTAACTGCCCATATGCTCTTAACGACATCATTTCACTTATCTGGACCACAGATTCCTTGGTTTTAAAATAAGGAGGTTTCTAAGCATTTTCTGGTCTTAAGACTGGTCCTTGATTTCAAATGTCAAAGAATTTACTCACTCCATAATTATTTTAGTGTTTTATCATGTCCCAACTTGCTGAGAGCCACGGCGGAGTCTGTATGGCCCCTGGCATTTTGCCAACAGTATTGATTGACAGGCGAGGCATTACTATCCCCCTCTGCGCAACTTTTGAGTTCTCGCACTATTTTGGAGTTCTCGTGGGGATTTCCGGGGATTCCCTGAGAGTTCCCATAGGTTGGGGAAGTGCAGGAGGAGGGATTTCCGGGAGATATATTTCCGGCTGGGGGTTCCTGGACAAGCCTCGTGGTGTTCGGAGGATTCCCCGGGAGCTGTGTGAAGTGTTTTCCTGCAGTTTAAAAATAAAGTTTGTTCCTGCTTCAGTGGCTCGTGATTTGTGCCCAGCCAGACTGCGGCATTTGGTGGCCTGTACGGGGAGCCCCGGGACACTCAGGGGTAAGTGACGAAAAAAAGCTGCCCATCCATAGATAGGACGGGGGCAATCTGCTCGTCCCTAGGCAGATAGGGCGAGAGGAAAAATGACCATTTCGAGAAAATGGAGAAGATTGATACAGTATGTTTGTGTCTTGTTTTGTCTTGAAATGTTGTATTGTCTTTGTGATGAAAATATGGAAGGGGTGAGAAGTAAATTACTAAGGGAAGAAGGCACCCCAGTGGAACCAAGAATAGTTAGGGCATGTGTTGATAAGAGCCCAGGAACTCTAGTCAGAAAGAAAAAGAAAGTTCAGAAGAAGAAGGATTATCAGGAAAAAAGTTGCGGCAGAGGCGGATAGTAATGCCTCGCCTGTCAATCAATACTGTTGGCAAAATGCCAGGGGCCATACAGACTCGGCTGTGGCTCTCAGCACCAACTGAACTAGGCTTTGAGTAAGTGGAAGTAAACAAAACAAAGACTCCTCCTGGAGCTTGCATTCTAAAGTGGGGGAGGGCAGGGAAGTAGACAACAAACAAGTAAACACATAGTATATCAGTTGGTGATAAAAGTACATGAAGTAAAATAAAGCAGGAGTGCTGGGCACAGTGGGGCATGCCTGTAATTCCAGCAGCTGAGGAGACTGAGGCCAGAGGATCATGAGTTCTAAGCCAGCCTCAGCAAAAGTGAGATACTAAGCAACTCAGTGAGACCCTGTCTCTAAATAAAATGCAAAATAGGGCTGGGGATGTGGCACAGTGGTTAAGCACCCCAAGGTTCAATCCCCAGTGAACCCCCCTCCACAAAAAAAGAAAAAAAAGAAGAAGAAAACAGGAGAGGAGAATTAGGAGTATGGTAGGTGAATGGAGATGTCACTGATAAGGTGACATTTCAGTAAAAACCTAAAGGAATAACATTGTCTTAATCCATTTTTCTGTTGCTATAGCAAAACATCTGGATAGGGTGATTTATAAAGAAAAATGTTTATTTAACTCCCAGTTCTGGAGGCTGGAAGGCCAAGATCAGGTGACCAAGTCTGCTTAGCTTCTAATGAAATCATCTGGGGCTCTATGCATGAGAGAAAAGTACAAGGACAACTAGAAGCACTGGTGTGAGGATGCTTTAGGCCTGAGCCTAAGCAAGAAACTCATTTTAAAAACTCCAGTTTGAAACCTGTGTCTCACCAGGCACACCCACAGAGCCCTCCAGTATGGCCTCAGACAAGTTATTTCCCCTCACCCTGATAAACAGAGTGAAGCCCCTGGCAGGCTGTCCTTGCCTGATGAGAGGGAAAGGCAAGAAGATCAGGAAGGAGACCACCAGACCAGATATTTCTGACCCCAGGGTAAATGATGTCACTGAGAAATCTGGTGATAGCTGATAAGGATTGAAAGGGGGGTCAAAAGCTCCAAAATTTAGTATAAGTAATAGAGCAATGAACAGGGATTCAGCCAGCTGAAACAAGGGTGGACTCAAGCTGGAGAGCCTGATGAGGACCTGTCATCCTATCACTTGTCATCGTTCCTGAGCCTCTGCGAGATCCTTACCGCTCTCAACTCTACCGCCTCGTCTGGATCTTGGTAAGAGCTGCAATTCCTCCCTACGACCCACTCCTCAACCAGTCATCCACTCCACACCAGTAAAAGCCTGCCTTGGTTCCAGACCTGATCACCGTGGTCTGAGTGAGTGTGCATCTGTTGGACATAAAGCCTAAAGCTTAACACTTTTGAACTTAGCACGCAGAGGGAATGTCTGTCATTAGCCTATCATGATTAAGTGTGTTTTGCAGTGCTTAGAATTAATCTAGAATTGTTTGCTGTGAAATAATTAATCTAGAATTGTTTACTGCAAATTGATTATGTCTATTGCAGTGCCTAGCATTAAGGTTTGCCATTTTCTTAATTAAGAACCTATAGAGGGGCTGGGGATGTGGCTCAAGCGGTAGCACGCTCGCCTGGCATGCGTGCGGCCCGGGTTCGATCCTCAGCACCACATACAAACAAAGATGTTGTGCCCACCGATAACTGAAAAATAAATATTATAATTCTCTCTCTCTACCTCTCTCTTTAAAATAAAAAAAAGATATTTAAAAAAAGAACCTAGAGAGTGAAACTGTATTGAGTAATTTGAATGAATAAAGCATTGAAAGGGGCAGAAGTGCGTGGACATTCTTTATTTCTCCTCTCGACTGCATATGTCGCAATTTTGTCCCCTCGCGACAATTGGGAAGAGAGAAAACAGCTAAATTACCACGATAGCTAACATATTACTTTAAGAAAGTATTAACTCATGCATGAAGGCTGAGTTTCCATGACCCCCAAAATCCCACTGGACCCCACCTCCCAACACTAATACATTGAAGACTAAGCTTCAACACAAGTTTTGATGGGGCCAAACCATATTAAAACCATAACAGACATGATGAAACATGATGTAGGTATCTGTAAGGAAGAACATTTCTGAAACAGGAAATAATAGGCTCTGTGCAGAAGTATAATTAGTGTGTTCAATAAAGAGCAAAAGTAATGAAGAGTAAGGAAGGAAAAACAGAGGGAAATAAAATCACAGAGAAAATGAGGATCAAATTGTTAAGCATTTTATAAAACATTGCAAAGGTTTTAGCTTAACTCCAAGTGAAAGGGAAGCTATTAAATGTTTTTGAGCAACGAAGTGACAAAAAGGTGGCTTCTTAGCTTTCAGGGAGGGGCTATGTGGCCTGAAGAGATGCTGTTGCAACTGCTGTTATGCAATAAGGTGAGGAGTCATTTGTCCTGAGGGCCATGGCACCATCTGACTTTGGGATTCCTCCAGTTCTCCACTGAGCTTTGAAGATCTCGCCCAACAGAGAAATACATCCCTGTGTCCACTGCAAACAGGAGTCCCATCATCAGGAAGAAAGTGATTTGGTACCAAGGTAGAGAGATGTATGGAATTGCTGGACCTAGGAGGAGAGGCAGAGGACTGAGTAATTAAAAAATTACAGAAACTTGGAATAAACAATGAGGTCCCTAGAAAGGAACTCAATCCAGAGGTTAAAGGCAAAGACAACAGCAGAAAGGGAGACCAGGAAGAATATCTACCTTTAGAGAATGTCTTCATCTTTCTGCCTTCCCAAGTAAAGAACTAAATTAGCATTTCCTAAAGGGTTTGCCGCAGCCCAGCTGGCTGGGCAAAATAGCTGGGGGGTGACGAACAACTTGTGTACGTTGATACAGCAGGAGTTGAAGCCGTTTATTGCAGGACAGGAGCAGTATTTATACATTCCACACAGCTTATCTAATTAGCATAAACTAGATACAGCAGTCAACCAATCAGGAATCTCCACACTTAATGGCTCACTTTTGTTACTTCTCAAACCACTCCCTCTGGCATTTTGCCAGGCACCATCCAGACTTGTTTACGAACTCTAACATTCCCCTGGCAAAATGCCAGGTGTTATTTTGACTTGTTTACAGACTCTAACATTGGTTATCCTGGACACATCTGTCTGAAGTTATAGAGAGAAATATTTTTGTGGTCATATAGTTTGGCAAATGCCATATGAAACATAGTCTATGTGGTTTTTTCCAACAGGAGTTCTTAAGCTTTTAATGTGCATTATAAATATAAAAGGAGAGGAACACAGCATGTAGCATGTTCCACATCAATGTGAACTTCATTCCAAGAAGTCCCTCAAGGAGTTTCATGGCTGGAGAACAATTTTGGGAGAACCTTGAATTAGGGAATCCACAGACTACATCAACCGATCTTCACTCACCACCTCCTCTGAACCTAGGACTGGGTAGCATTCACTGGCCAAGCTCATGATGCCTCTTGAAAAAGCATGAGGAAATCTACAATGCAAAATATCTCAAGAATAAACAAAGGCCAACCAGGAGCAGTGGCACAGGCCTGTAATTCAGTGACTCAAGAGACCGAGGCAGGAGGATCAAAAGTTCAAGGCCAGCTTGGGCAACTTAGTGAGACCCTGTCTCAAAATAAAAAATAAAAAGGGCTGGGGATGTAGCTTAATTCAGTTCAAGTGCTAAAAAAATTAATGATCTGAAAGAGATCATTAATCACTTCCCCACTCAGCCTTCTGAGGCCTGAAGCTCCTTGAATAACATTTGAAAAACAGAGTTCCCATACTTTGGACAGTGATGGTCACAGATTTTGATGAGTAGGGCGTCCTCCCTACACTTCCTCTGCAGGAGTAATCACCACTGTGACTGCGGTTTGCTGACGGGATGGAGAAGTTGGCATTGAAATGGGAAAACTGCTTGGAATTTCCATTCTGGTAGAATGTGATCTTGTTCAGAGGGTTGTTCTTCCAGCTGTGACACCTCAAAACAATGGTGTCCCCCTCCTGGAACACCAGTTGAGAGGTCTGGAGCAGCAGCCAGTCTGAAAAACAAACATGGGAAGAAAAAGTTCTAAGTATACCTTAGCAGCCTCACCCTCAGGGCTTTATTACTCACAGAATTTGAAAGAATCCCAGATGGAGGGAATTGGAGATGTTTCATGGCAGATGTAAGCATTCTCATATAGGAAAAATATGGTGTCATTTCTATGGGACCTCTAAAGGATAGAAGTTTTCAGAAGTTCTGAAGATGAAGAGCAGATATTAAAAACAATTTTGAGGGCTGGGGTTGTGGCTCAGTGGTAGAGTGCTCGCCTAGTACATGTGAGGCCCTGTGTTTGATTCTTAGCACGGCATATAAATAAATAAAGGTCAATTGACCAAAAAAAAGGAAAAAAACAACAACACCACAATTTTGTGCACTTTAAAACACTATGTTTGTGTAGGGAAATGAATGCACTTTATTAACTGTAGGAGTTAACTGAATAGAACCTCAAACCTTCAATTTATTATGGATAAATTTGTGGTCTAGGAATTACTAACTTCATGGTAACTTTTGAACTTTTTTTTTTCTGGAAGTGAGGTAGGCATCAATTAGCTGTATTAGTAATGAAATAGAGCTTTAATAATGCCAGCCACTCTGTCTTAGTCCATTCAGCCTTCCCTTACAAAATACCATAAACCAGGGTATAAACAACATGAATTTATTTCTTACAATCTAGAGCCTGGAAAGTTCAAGACCAAGGTGCTAGCAGCTTATATGTCTGGTGAAGGTTGTTTTCTGTTTGTAGAATTGAGTCTTATTGACACATCCTCACATGGAGGAAGAGGCCCCAAAGCTCCTATGAGCCTCTTTTAAAAGGGCACTACTCTCATTCATGAGGGCTCCACTCTCCTGACCTAATCACCTCCCCAAAGGCCTCACCTCCTGTTATAATCACTGTGGGGTTTACAGGATTTCAACATATAAATCTTGGGAGAAATAAACTTGCAAGAGTATAGAACACTCTTAGTAGAATCTTACATCCACTAAGAAATGAAGAGGTATGAATTTTTGCATTCACTGTTCCATTGTGGCTCTGAACAAAAGGGGCACTAAAGAAAGCTTTGGAACTTACAATAACTTTTCCCTCCTTGTTTACAAACATCCTCACTCATTGATGGCAGAGTGATCAGATTCCAAAAATTCAGCCACTTCAGAGGACAAGTCTATAAAGAATGTTTTAATAGAGCCATTTTTCTTATAGAAAGAAATATCACATAATAAGAAATATTGTATCTTATTTAAATGAAAATTCACCTAAGAAAATAATATTCTGTACATTGAAAGGCAAGATACTGTCATTGAGACATCAAGAAACAAAAATCTAAAGTCAGGATTCTGTTCTTATTGCTGTTGTTAACTGCTGAAATTTTGGGTCTCATCAGCTTAAGTTTTTTGCACAACAGAGGGAAGGGACTAGGTGGTTTGTCCTTATCAAACCTTTGGATCTTACTAAGAATAACCAGTAAAATAAAATTTAAAAAAGAAGAAAAATCAAACCTTTGGATCTAAGTTTTTGTTATCTGTAATTTTACATTTTCAAAGGAAGAGTCAGAAGTACTATTGGCTGTTTCTGGAAAGATGAGGTACAAAGAGAGGAGATGGATAGCTGTGATGTCTTTGGGCAGGATTTTTAGGTTAACTCACTGTTTCCCTTTCACTAGAATACCATCAACAGAAAATGACTCTGACTAGTATAGGGGTCTCAAAGGTTCATAAAAAATTGTCTTCTTAGCTAAGCATAGCGTCACAGACCTGTAATCTCAGCTACTTGGTAGGCTGAGGCAGAGGATCACAAGTTTGAGACTATCCTGGGCAACTTAGCCAGACCCAGTCTGGGGATGTAGCTAGGTGGTGGAGTGAGCACACACACACACACACACACATACTCACAAGCCTTCCTGGTATTAAATAAGAAAATCTAAACATTGGGATGCTTACATGTGGCCATCTTCAGGGTTTATGCACCAAGGTGCAGTTGAAGTAAAATGCAATATAGGTATACTCGTATTTCCAGAAATTGGAAGGGTAGAAGTAGTATTTAGGGGAATTTTCTGTATAGTATATTAAATTGAAAACTGTCAGATAGTTACATATATCTAAATAAGACTCCTTTAGTTAAAACCACCTCACGACATACACAAATGGAATGTTATTCTACCATAAAAAGAATAAAATCCTGTCATTTGCAACAATATAGATGGACATTATGTAAAAACATTATGTTAAGTGAGATAAGCCAAGCACAGAAAGACAAGCACAGTGTGATCTCACCCATATGTGGGGATGGGGAGAGTTGATCTCATAATAGTTAAGAATAAACTGGTCATTACCCAAGCCTGGAAAGAATAGGAGGGAAGGAGGGATAGGGAGAGGTTGACCAACAGGTACTTAATAAGAAATTTTGGCATGCTATTGCACAGTAGGATGTCCATAGGTAATAATAATGTACAATATATATTTCAAAAAGCTAGAAGAAAGGATTTGGAATGTTTTCAAATTAATACATAAGATAAACTGTTTAATCTGATTTAAACATTACATGATATGTATCTACATCAAAACATCACATGGCAACCCATAAATATATAAAATTTTTTATATTGATATATCAGTTAAAAAATTTAAATTAAAAAATTATCTTACAGATTCTCATCTAATTCAGAAATAAAAATCAAAGTCATTGCAACACTCTATCAGCCTCTACAGGGTCTGCCCTTTCTCTCCCCCTCACCTCTGGCCTCATTTTCCAAATTGGATTCTTCCCTTAGAGGTCCAGCCTCCTGCCTCCTACAATTCTGGCAGAAAGAGCTCCTCACAGTTGTCAGGCCAGCTCCCAGATTAGGGCCTTTGCAGGTCTACTGCCTCCAACCTCCATGCTTCCCCACACTGCTAGCAGAGTAGGGTGGTTTTACAGAATAGGAACTTCCTTTTGTTTCTTTCATACTCAGTCATTTGTCCATGGCCTCTTGCTCAATCAGAATGGAAGCAAAAATAGCCATTCATAAACGCTGAAGAGTTTGGTAATTTCCAGCTCCATCACACATATTAAGCAAAAAGGTGGAGGAAATGAGTGGGCAAAACCTACTTCAGGCAACTCACAGTGATGCTTTGCAGTAAACAGGTCACCTTCCCTTTCCTACAAACCTCTGAAAAATTAAATTTCATCCCTCCTTGTCCTCCCAGCACTTTCCTGGACTTTCTTCTACTGACCAGAAAACACGTCCAGATGCACTGGGTCGCTGAGGCTGGTCTGGTCCATTTGGCATCTGTAGTCCCCACTGTGATTGTTCTTGGCCTTAAATTTGTAGCTTGGCTGGGGCTGGGTTAGGATGAAGTTCCCATTGTGGAACCACTGGACAGAATGGTTCTCAGAGTTGTGGGTTCCTTGGCATTTCAGTGACACAATATCCTCCTGGAGCACTTGGATCCACGGGGGCTCAAGTTTTACCACAGCCTTTGGGAAATCTGCTAAGGGATAAAATACAGAAAAAGATGTAAATAAATAGCTTTGGAGGGAGTTTGGTTTCAAAGGAGCTCCCAGAGGAGGTCAGGGGCCACAGAGTACTATTGCAGACCCACTTAAAAATCTATATACCAACAGCAGGCTCATTCCCTTGGGTCTTTGGAGAATCCACTGGGAATCTGGCAAAGAATCAAGTCCCAGGACCTACTGAGATGAGGGAGCTGCCCAGGCTGAACTCAAGCCTGATTCTTGGTGAAGCAAAGTAAGCAAAGCGTCTCATGACAAATGCTACCCGAACAAGAAAGCAGAACAAACTCACCAGTTTGCCTGTCCGCAGAAGCTGTAAAGGAGAAGAGATCAAAGTCAAGCAGCAGCAGACAATAAGAACAAACTCATTTGTGTGTATAAGGAGAAGGGCAGAGGGAGGTGATTTGGAGCTCCTTTCCCAAGGACCCATCTCAAGAGCCTAATTCCAATTAGTTTTCTATAAAAATACTAATTTCTCATGCCCTCCTTGTTTCATCCTGTCTATTTGGTGTGGTACAAAATTAGCATGTATGTTTGGTAACCTTTCTGGGTCTGTGAAAATACCTCTGAATTCTGACTTTATGACCCACCAAACAGTAAGAATTCATGGTCCACAGATGAGGGAGTGGTGGCTCAGTGTTATAGCGCTTGCTTAATATTCATGAGACCCTGGGTTCCATCCCCTACACAGCAAAAATAAATAAATAAATTTAATTTTAAAAAGAAAGGAGGAATTCAGAGTCCTCTCTTCCCTTTCAGACTATCCCCAGTTTCTAGGCCCCATGCCTACTCCTAACTACCCCGGTCCCTAGAGTGAAGGCAGTAGGAATAGCTGAAATTATCCTATTTCAGAATGACCCCCGACTCACCCAACAACAGCAAAATTGTCAGTGGTTGAAGCAGCCATCTGCTGCCAGGATCTAGGTTCTGAAACATGTAGGTCTCCAAAGTCATCCTTGAGCTGGGCCAGAGTCCAGTGGGGAGATTAACTTAGAAAAGAGGAAGGAAATTGTTTCATTTTTTTTTGTTCAGCTGTCCTCAGTCAGCAGATTGTATTTCTGCCAACTAATGAGTAACAAATTAAGCTAGAAGTGAGTTTGCTTTCCAGAGAAATCTATCACATATCCCCTGGTATCCTTATGAAAGCTCTGGGTTGTTGTTTGCTTGTGAGGAAACTGATGGGGGAAACACCAGAAGCAGAATTGGGAATGGAACCCACATCCTGGGTCTCAGTTCAGTGTTATTTCCACTCCAAGTACAGAAAATTCCAAGGGAACTCTGGGACAATAAAAAAGAGACCCATCTTAAATCTAACACCAAAGAATCAACATTAAATTAAAAAATAGGGTAGTTATCTGCAATCCAAGAATTATCTAAATATTCCACAGACAAGACACTTTCCTCCCTATCCCTGACCTTCACATATATAAGACACCTTTTTAAATGCAAGACATAAATTTAGTAAGAAGGAGATAAAACAATTTCCAACATTAGGAAGACACTTTTTTGTCTATATATATATATATATATATATATATATATATATATATATATATACACACACACACACACACTCTCACTCTCTACATTCTTCTGACACTAAATATATGATTTTCCCCCAAGCCTAGCAATTCTCCAAAACCAGATGGAATTCTAAAACAATTTCCTGGGGTTCACATAAGATCCCACAGGTTGAGTTCTGAGTCCCATGAAATTGCCTGAGCTTCAGATACCATTGGCAAGTCCAGGCCTCCTGTGCTTCTTCTTCTTCTTTTTATTTTATTTATTTTTAGTTGTAGATGGACACCATACTATTTATCATTTATTTATTTATTTTTATGTGGTGCTGAGGATCAAACCTAGTGCCTCACACATGCTTAGGCAAGCACTCTACCACTGAGCTACAGCCCCAGCCCCCTCCTGTGCTTCGGACTGATGGCTATAAATCAAGATTTCCTACAATACCCTGCTTGGGTTCTGTAATTTTCTGGAATGATTCACAGAACTCAAAGAAACAACTGCATAAGACTTACCAGTGTAATATATAATAAAAGATATGCTGAACTGCTACCGCCATTGCCACTGCCTCTGATACTGCTACTGCCACCCTGAGGTCTCTTGGAGGTCTTCTTTCAGGGTGCTGCTGCCCTTGCAGCTGCAACCACCAGCTGCTGCCACAGAAAACACCACTGCCCTGGATACAACTGATGTGGATACCACTGCTGACCTCTGGACGTCACCTGGTGACGCTGCCCCCACAGCTGCAGTTGCGGCTGACGTTGTAGCCAACACTGTAGCCGTCACTGCAGCCGCCACTGCTGCTGACCTGCTGCCATCAACCACTGCCACTACCACTGCTACCACTCCCTAGAGGACCGCTGCGGGGGAGACTCCAGGTTTGGTTGCATGTGGCTGCATCCAATTTGGGACACCAGCCAAGGCCTGGGGCCTGGGTTCCAGCACATTTACCACCGACCACAAGAGCCTCTGGGGACTCCAGCTGAGACCTACAGGTCCAGTATGGGGGTGCCTGTAGGTTTGGAGTTACCTGGGGTCTCCTGTTGGGAGTGCTGATGGCTTTTGTCTTGGGCTGCATCTCGGGGTTGCTCCTTTTGCATGAGTGTATCCCTGCATCTATGCAAGTATCTATCCCTGTATCTCTGTAAGTAGAAGCAGCATTGAGATTTTGGGACTTCAGCATGGCCAAGCCTGAGGTATCTGAAGCCCAGATTGGTGAGATAGTGACTGGGTCTGCGAGGGCTGATCTGGGCCTGGTGACCCCAAGAGATGACAGAGACAAGGGTGAGAAACTTTTGAACGCCGATGGAGACAGTTTGACTTTTCAGTGAGATTTATTTTATTTTATTTTTCAATTCGCTAATATCTCTATCATATTGGAACAGGGTGTTTTTATGCATCAGTGTGTGGAGGACAATGATATATGAATGATGTTTTGCATTTTGTTGTATTCTTATATCTTTAATTTTTTCTCTGTATTCTTCTTCTCTCTTGTCTGTTTTCTTGGATTTTTCTTTCCAACTTTATTCCTACCAACAGCCAATCATTATAGCTCCTTTTCCACTCTTTTTGTGAATTTTTGCTTCTAGATTCTCTCTACCTCCCTTGGGAAAATTGTGTACTATGCTACCTCTGTTCTCCCACCCACCATTTGAAATTGTAAACCGTTTCCACAAATTTTCTATTTATATTATAGATAGTTATTGAACTCATCATTTTGGTTTAATGCAAGAAAGCAGTAGATGCCTTAGTGGGAGCTATTAGTTTAAGGCCATATATTGTTTACACTGGGTGTTGTTGATATTGGTTTCACCATTAAAGGTGAAGTGCTGGAAACCTTCAGGGACACTGTAGGTCTACAAAGTAGAATTTGTGCTGCCTTATGTCCATACTTCTGGATGGGAAAACACATGAACAACATGAAAAAACAAGGAAATAAAGTGCCCCAAACAAATGACAATGCTTCAACAGCAGAAACCACTGATAACACAGTAGAAGAAATGTCCAAAAAGGACTTCATATTGTACATATTTCAATTGATCTGTGAAGTAAAGGATAGTATAAGAAGCGAAATCAAAGAAAAAATACAGGAGGTGAAAAATCACTTCAATAAAGAGAGATTGTGGGGGCTGGGGATGTGGCTCAAGCGGCAGTGCGCTCGCCTGGCATGCGTGCAGCCCGGGTTCGATCCTCAGCACCATATACAAACAAAGATGTTGTGTGCCACAGTCCGGCTGCAGCAAAATAACCAGGGGGTGACGAGCAACTTGTGTAGATTGATACAGCAGGAATGGGAGCTGTTTATTGTAGGACCGGAGCGGTATATATACATTCCACACAGTTTATCTAAATTAACATAAACTCGATACAGCAGTCAACCAATAAGGAATCTTCACACTTAATGGCTCGCTGGAGTTACTTCACAAACCACTCCCTCTGGCAAAATGCCAGGCGCCATCCTGACTTGTTTACAGACTCTAACAGTTGTGTCCGCTGAAAACAAAAAATAAATATTGAAAAATTCTCTCTCTAAAAAAAAAAAGAAAAAAGAAAAAAAGAAAGATTGGGGGGGGGGAGCAGAAATCCTCAAAATGAAGGAAACAGTAAGCCAAATTATAAATTCAATAGAAAGCGTCACCAACAGACTAGACCACTTGGAAGACAGAACCTCAGACAACGAAGATAAAATATATAATCTTGAAAGTTGAGTTGAGGGGCTGGGGTTGTGGCTCAGTGTTAGAGCACTTACCTAGCATGTGTGAGGCACTGTGTTTGATCCCCAGCACCACATAAAAATTAAAAAAATAAATAAATAAAATAAAGATATTGTGTCTATCTATAACAACAAAAAAATATTTAAAAAAAGAAAGTTGAGTTGACCATGCAGAGATGATAATAAACCATAAACAAAATATTAAGAATTATGGGATAACACGAAAAGACCAAATTTAAGAGTTATTGGAATAGATGAAAGAGCAGAGATACAAACCAAAGGAATGCACAATCTTTTCAATGATATAAGAGCAGAAATTTTCCCAACCTAAAGAATGGAATGGAAAATCAAATACAAGAGGCTTATAGGACCCCAAGTGTACAAAATTACAGCAGACTCACATCAAGACACATTATAATAAGAATGACTAACACGTAGAATAAAGATAAAATCTAAGGGCTGAGGTTGTGATTCAGTGGCAAAGCACTTGTCTGGCACATGTGAGACACTAGGTTTGATTCTCAGCACCACATAAAAATAAACAAAATAAAGATATTGTATCCATCTGTAAGTAAAAAAATAAAAAGATATTTTTTAAAAAAGATAAAATCTTAAAGGCTGTGAGAGAAAACAATTAAATTTTGTATAAGGGGAAACCAATTCAGATCTCAACTGATTTCTCAGCCCAGCCCTCAAAGTTAGGAGGTACTGGAATAATGTATTTCAAGCTCTGAAGAAAATGGATGCTAACCAAGAATTTTATATCCAGCAAAATGAAGCTTCAGATTTGAAGATGAGATTAAAGTCTTCCATGATAAACAAAAATTAAAAGAATTCAAAACTAGAAAGCCTACACTACAGAGCATTCTCAACAAAATATTCCCTGAAGATGAAGTGGAAAAAAAAAAAGTGAAAACCAGTTAAGGAGGATCTAAATACACTAAAAGAACATTAAACCAATGGAGAAACTAAGTCAAATTAAAAACCAGAAAAAAATCAAAATGACAGGAAATATAAATCATATCTCAATAATAATCTTGAATATTAAAAAAATGGCCTAAACTCATCAATCAAAAGACAGATTGGCAGATTAGATTAAAAAGCAAGACCCAAAAATATGCTGCCTTCAAGAGACTTACCTCATGGGCAAAGACATCCACAGGCTGAAGGTGAAAGGATGGAAAAAAACCTTATCACTCATAGAAGTTTCATAAACAAGCAGTGGTTTCCATTCTTATCTCAGATAAAGTAGACTTCAAACCAAGGTTAATTGGAAGAGACAAAGAAGGACCTTTCATACTTCTTAAGGGAAGTATATATAAGCAGAACATAACGAGTATAAATATTTATGCCCCAAACAATAGAGCATCTATGTATATCAAACCAACCCTTCTCAATTTCAAGAGTAAAACAGGCCACAACACAATAACACTGAGTGACTTTAACACACCTCTCTCACCACTGGACAGATCTTCCAAACAAAAACTAAATAAAGAAACTATAGGGCTGGGGATGTGGCTCAAGCCGTAGTGCACTCGCCTGGCATGTGTGCGGCCTGGGTTCGATCCTCAGCACCACATACAAACAAAGATGTTGTGTCTGCCGAGAATTAAAAAATAAATATTGAAAAAAATTCTCTCTCTCTCTTTTTTTTAAAAAAAAGAAACTATAGAACTAAATAAAACAGTCAATAATTTAGACTATATATATATATATATATATCATCAAAAAACAAATTTTCTTTCTTCTCAGCAGCACATGACTCATTCTCTAA